GCCCCTTTCAGCATTTTATTGTAGCCAGGGCCTCTGCGTTTCTTTGGGCATCTGTGTATAAGGTGTGAAATTATTGTTGATCATCAATCTTTGACTATAGTCTCGCTGACTCTCTTAGCTAAAACATTAGTGCTCCTCAGCCAACCAGAGAGCTTTTCTGGTATTAGCAGTGCTTCTGATGTGGGGATAGCGTTAATATTAGCCCACGTAATATATTGCATTCTTGTTGTGTCTGGCTTCTTACTGTAGCAGGGTTGCATTAGTCCTCTTTTATAAGTATAAATAAGAGTTTCAATATAGTTATTTTATTTTTTAACCTTTGTCACTGTTGATTTATAGCAGTCAGGATTGTTAGGAAGGTCATACTCTTGTTTTTTTTAGCATCAGCTAGAGGAAGAAGCTGCGAAACCCCAGGAGCCAGAGCGCACCATCTCACCTCCACCCAGTGAAGCCAAACACCGCAGCCTTGTCCAGATCATCTATGATGAAAACAGGGTGAGAACAAAAAACACCAGGGATTCACGATATTGGATTTTTGCCGATATCGGATATGCCGATTAGTGGTCGACCGATATTGTTTTTTTGACAGTCGATGCCGATGCCAATATCTTGGAAAGCAGGGTGACTGATGGCCGATATAAAGCCGATATAATTTTATTTATTTTAATTAATATTTAAGAAATTAAATAATTTGAAAATGGATAAAAAAATAAATGTGTAAAATAAACATACTTGTACTTTAAATGACAAAAGTATTTTTCACAAATAAATAAATAATTAATAAAAATATAATTAAAAAGGAAGTAAACACTGAAACCAACATGGCATTCTTTATTTATTTTTTCAAATAAAGTCAAGGTAACACTCATTTTACATACAGCACACAGTGAAAATGACATGAATATGACATTGGGCAAAAGCATGAAGCGCAGCATAATTTGAAATCATGAGTTTAAAGTTTGTCGATCGCGCGTCTCCAGTGAAGGAGAACTTTCCTCCTGTCCGTATTCAATTCGCACGGACCTACCATTACACAGAGAACACGCGATCATGCAGGATACAAATGCACACTTCACACGATCTCACAGCTGGATTTGACTAAGTTTGCAAGATTTTTAAAATTAAATGTTCATTAGTCATTCAAAGATTTGTTTAAATTATATAAATCCATATTTGCTGAATGCTGACTGCAAACGAGAAAGTATTATAATGTTTGCCTTTATTACTAATAATATAAAAGCAATCGTTATACTTTTTTTTATACATTTTAATTCCTTAGTTCTAATACGGACAGAAATCTGTCTAATAATCAGAAAGAACTGTTAAACAGTCAACGACGACAGCGAACAAGGAGAATGTGAACACTGTGTGCGCAGGTGCTGCCGTTCTCAGCGCCGTCAAAATTAAAAGTCCGCCTCGAACGCATCTGCCAAACAGAAAAACTTATCGGCCAATGCCGATATATCGGCCAACCACTAATGCGGATCATTTTCAGCTCATTTTGGCCGATAGCCAAATATATAATTATTTTTCATTTTGGTTAGTTTTTAAAGTGCCCCTACTATGGATTTTTGAAAATTACCTTTCATGCAGTGTGTAACACAGCTCTAAGTGAATGAAAACATACTGCAAAGTTTTAAATCTAAAAGTGCACAGTGTATAAAGTTATTGTCTCTCAAAAGAAAGAGTCGACTCTGAATAATTGAAACGAGTCGTTTTAAAACGAACCCCAATCATACCAATCACCGCAGATTAGCGTCACGTAAAGAAGGGGTTTGGAAAAATGGATTGTTGAGCGAATCGTTTGGGAGTCGTTGTGCAAGTAAGGTAAAAAATAAATGCATATTATAAGACAATGAAAGTGTTTTTTGACCTTGCATGCATGTCAACCTGTTGTTGGGGACTCCCCAAAACCAAAATATGAACCTTTCATTACCCATTATAGGGACAGGAACTTATTTGTTAGAATTAAATAAACAATAATACAATTATTTTATAATGACAGCACATTGAAGATTTGAAAAAAACTATAAATAAACTATATATTAATCACTGCATTTTCCCCCCCAGAGAGATGCAGTGGTAACATTAACATTTTATTTTATGATTTAGCATTTGTAAATGGTCTAAATCAAAAGAGTTGTACAAATTCTGAAAATCCTGTGATGCTCATAATTTGTTTAAATAATATAACATATTACACATGAATGAATAAATCAGTAGGTATATATAAAATTATTTAATTTAAGTGTCATGTTTGTGATTTTTTTTTTTTGTTCATGTAAGCTATAGCTTCTGACCTTTAAATCAAAACATACTCATTTTATGGCCTCAATTATTGCTTTATTTAAAGGGGTCATGATGTTACTAAAAATAACATTATTTTGTGTATTTGGTGTAATGAAATGTGTTTATGCGGTTTAAGGTTAAAGAAACACATTATTTTCCACATACTGTACATTATTGTTTCTCCTCTATGCCCCTGCCTTTCTGAAACGTGCCGATTTTTACAAAACTTATACTGTCTTTTTACGCGTTGCGTTGCATCGCGCCGCGTAAACATAAAACCATGTCTGCGTTTGTGATCGGAGAAACGACAAACAACAAGCGCTACTCTACACTGCTCAAAACTCGCGTTTGAATCATCAGTGGAAAATTCTTTAAATATGAAAACGTACTGTCAAAACGTACTCTAGTCAGAACAGCCGGCGTTGTAGTATCCCAGGATCAGGAAACAGTCCTCCATAAAATGCGCTGCACACATCTGAATATTTGGGTTGAACTGTTCTGGAACAGTGTTGTAAATACAAGTTAACCACTGATTTCTAGTTGTGTCCTCTTTTGGAAGGCCAAACAAAGTAGTTTCGCTTTCACAACGAAACACACAGCGTCACACACGGCGGGCTAGAGTGAGGTTTTTTAACACACAGACATGGTGTGCTAGAGTGAGCGGAGACCGGCGGGCTTGAGGCTTGAGGGCTCGCGGCAACCACATGTGACGACCCCGGGCCGGACTCCGCTTTGTCCATGTTGAAAGCCGATCCGGCGATCCACAGCACTAAGTTGATGTATTTCCTCAGCGACCAGCACGGATCAGCTTTAGGCATGATGAAGCGGTTATCGTCCTCTTTTGGAAGGCCAAACAAAGTAGTTTCGCTTTCACTACGAAACACACAGCGTCTCCACAACATGGCGGCAGCGGCAACAACAATAGAATAAAAGTTTTGCCTTTCTTTGCGTGAACATTTGGGCGGTGTTATGCAAATCTTCCCACACTGTGACGTAGACGTGGGGGCGTGTTTAAACGAGGCATTTTAGGAGGACGTGGACAAGTCTTAACTTTTATAAAGAATATCTCTTTGGATTTGAGACTTTAGTCTTTGCAACTTTAGGGATCTTATCTATGCACGAACAGCTTGTAACACTCCAAAGAGAAAGGAAAATTTGAAATTGCATCATATGACCCCTTTAATCAGAAACATGGTCTAAATATTATTTGTGTATTTTGCTTTCATTTTATTAGAAGTAGGCCAACAGTGCCCCCTACGGAATTAAAACTCCTTACTGAGCGGGCATTAAGACTCAGGGAAGGCTGCCGCTGCTGAATGTGCTAATACTGTTTACTCTATCACACACCTAATGCATCATTCTGTATGTGCATTCTCAGTTTAAATGCAGCATCCAAAACAGTGAATCCAATCACCATTCAGGCAAAACTTTGCTTCAAGAATGAGCCACAATGCTGACGTGATCTAATCACACTGTTGACGTGATCTAATCGCTAGCACACCCTGAGCACATGTGAGTTAATGTATTCCTCTTATCGGCAAGACTTATCGGCAAGACATATCGGCATAATTTTTCATATCGGGCCGATGCCGATATTTACATTTAAAGCCATTATCGGCTGATTCCGATATTGGCCCGATAATATCGTGCATCCCTAAAAAACACTCACGGTACATACTGCATCTAATTACATGTATGCACATATATTGCATTAGACAAGTACACACAAATGTTAAATGAACATTGGTGTTCAGAGAAGCTCATCTCTGAACAGAAGCAGGTAGGTCGAACAGCTGTGACAGATCTTAATGAGAGAAACGAGCTGTTAAATGTATAATGAGATGCTGTAATCGATTGATGGTGAACTGACCCAGAAAACCCTAGAAATTTCAATGCAAATAGCATACCATTCAGGCTCCTCTGAAATACTTTATTGAGGCACTATGATTTGGGGTGTACTACTCCTAAGCTTACTATGGATAGTTTGAGATGCAGCCATGGAGAGTCACTCAGCATACTGTATACTGCAGCATTGACATGTCTTTGGTGCTCGTGGTCCCTCTAGTGGTGAGAGACTAGAGAATTACAGCGAAGCGTCTCAATCTGGGGCTATGGAGTGTGAATGTCTTCTGTATATATATATATATATATATATATATATGATATAAAATATTTATTTGCATCTTTTTTTAATGGGAAATTGACCCCAATTACTTGTATAGCAGATATATTAAGCATGGAGTTTTGGTTGTGATAATATGCCAACCTCTGCTTATAAAGGCACACAAATGGCCATCTGAAGGTCCATTGTCGATGTAGCATATTTTTTGTTATTGTGGTGGTTGTTTTCTATTTTATTTTTTCTTGTCATGTCACATCTTGTATGCATCTGAAACCACCTCCTGAGGTTTGAGTGATAGGATTACTGGCTATCCTTTTTGAATGTGTCTTGGAGGGTGTTTTAGCACTTAATTTTTACACACCATTTGGAAAGCTTCATGTATCTCCATCATAATTTCATCTAGCTTTTACTGTTCTCTACCTCAAGTGTATCCAGGTCTGCACATTTGCTTCTCTGTCAGGTGGTTCTGGCTTCGGTCCTGCTGTGATCTTTTAATCACACCCACCATCTCTTAATCCATTAAGGCCTCTCATGCTGCGATACTGCCAAAGAGCACTCACGCCTTCCTGTTCTCTTCCAGGAAGCACTCGATGCTCTCTGAAATCCACGGGATAGAATACAGAGGATAGTTTTGTTAAAGTGCCGGTATCATGCTGATTCATTGTGGGAGAGGAAATTGTCATATTAAAGGTGCCATGTTCAACAGTAGCATGTTGTTTTCTTTTGAAGTTCACTTTATAATGTTAGTCAAGATTCCAGCAGCAAAAAAAGGGTTTTGTATCCTTTCTCTCTTGGAAATAAAAGCGCTAATAGTAAAATAAAAACATTACAGTGTCTTCAATATATCTATATTTAAATAACCTCTGTTATGATTGGCTGTTTTGCATTGAGCTAATCAATAAAACAGCTGATCAATAAAACGGATAAAAGCTCCTAACGGCAATCTAGTGTGCATTAAGCTACAAAAAGAAAGAGCACGTGTGTGTGTACATATGTCAGTCAAATGTAGCAAAAACACATTAAGGGAGAGCATTGATTTTGTACAAAAATATGCATTTTGATAAAATATATTTTAATTATATTGTTATGTTTAACTGATTGATTGATTTAATTTATATTTTAAAATAATATTATTAGTAGTATTATTAATTATTTGTAAATATAATTTACAAATTCCAATTAACGTGTGTAACTTAAATCTGCTATTTAATTCACAACCCTCATAATATGAAAAATAAATTGACAAAATAATCAGCAGATTAATCACTTATCAGTGCAGCTGCTATTCAGCCCTAGTTATGTGAAATCTGCTGATATAGTTCATATGTCAGGGTGGTTCATGTTGCGTTATTCCGGATAGATGTTATATAATATGGACAGTCATATTTGTATGTGCTCATCATTATGTGATTTTTGAGTGACTCAGTGTATTTTCTATAATGAGTGTGCTTGGTATAGTGAAAGAGCTGGCTCTGCATTGTGAGAAAGCAAGTAAAAAAAAAAAATCATGTTTTCCATTATACGTCAACTTTAAAATGATGATAGGCTGATTATTGTTTGCCTACTATAGATGAGATTGACAGTTAAAAATGAGCATTGCAGAACTGCTCACTGAAAAAAATTGATTTCTGAGTGTGAGCTGCTTGTAGTCAGGTCATAATATTTCACACACACTGTATGGATAATTGCAGGAAAATGGCTAGTAGATGAATGACTGGTAGAAAGTGCCCTATATATATCCAATGTCAAATAAACCATATCACCCCGTGGTTTTTTTAGTTTTTTGTAAAGAGAGTGGATTAGTGTGTATCCATTTCTAAAGTATTGAGTTTTGTTTGCGAGAGAGAAAGGAAGTTTTAGGGCTTTCATTTTGTATGTTTATGTGGAAGAGAGACACATAAGCCACACGAAATAGCCAGCAATCTGCTGATATTGTCACCATCTCCCTATTGTCACCATCTCCATTGTTTTTGTTTCTCTCTCTCTCTCTCTCTCTCTCTCTCTCTCTCTCTCTCTCTCTCTCTCTCTCTCTTCGTTTGTGCAAGCCTGC